GGTCCCTCATCCACAGCAAGGCTCTCCCCACAGACTCTTTCCTGCTAGTGGGTTAGAAGCAATTGGATCCTGCTTTCCAGCCTCAATCCAGTTTGAGGAGAAGGAAGCCTATCCTTTTATATTTTTACAAGTCAGATTTATAGAGGTATTGTTTATATATAGTAAAACTCAGTTTGATAAAATTGGATGAACACATACAGCCAGGTAACCCCCTCCACAATCAAGAACATTTCTGAAAAGTTCTCTCATGTCCTTTTGTCGTTCATCCCTCCTCCTCCACCCTCAGCTCCTAGCGTCCACTTATGGGTTTTCTGTCCCTATAATTTTGCCTTTCCAAAATGTCATATAAATGGAGTCATACGGTATGGAGACCTTTCAGTCTGGCTTCTTTTACTTAGCATAATGCTTTTGAGATTCATCAGTGTTGTTACACTTATCAGTTTATTCTTTTTCATTGCTGAGCAGAATTCTAATGAATGGATGTACCACAGTCTTGTCCATTTACCAGTTAAAGGACATTTGTTTCCAGTTCTTGGTGATCATGAGCTATAAACATGTATACCTGTCTCTTTTTCAGAAAAACTTATAGAAAAATAAATAACTTTGCTTTATAAAAACCAGAACTGTGTGAGCAACTTATGGTTTATACAGAGCACTTTCACTCACCTTATTCCTATAATTACCACAGTAACCTTGAGAACTAGGTTAGGAATCTTACCCCATTCTGTAGATGGAGGCTAAGAAGCCTCCCTGCAGCCCCGACTGCCCAACTCCTAATCGGCTGTCCTTCCCCCAAAACATTTTCTGAACATCCTGTCTGGGCAGAACACTCTGCTAGATGCTTTCAGGGCAGTCATAAAACAACATAAAAATTGATTTTTTTTCCTTCTAAGTGGAACAGCCTGATATTCCACATTATGTGCTATCAAGCAAATGCAAATTAAAGCCACGAGATACTATTACGACCCCTAGTAGAATGGCCAAACGCTGGAACACTGACAGCACTAAATGCTAGTGACGATGTGAAGCAGGAGGAATTCTCATCCACTGCTGGTGGGGATGCGAAATGGCACAGCCACTTTGAAAGAGAGTGCAGCAGTTTCTTAGAAAACGAAACATACTCTTACCATATGATCCAGTAATTGCTCTTCTTGGTGTTTACCCAAAGGAGTTGAAAACTTTTGTCCACACAGAAACCTGCACACAGATGTCTCAGGCACCTTTATTTATAATTGCCAAAATTTGGAAGCTACCAAGGTGCCCTTCGGCAGGGGAATGGATCAATAAATTGTGGTACATCCAGACAGTGGAATATTATTCAGTGCTGAAAAGAAATGAATTACCAAGCCATGAAAAGATCCGAAGGAACCTTAAATAGATATTACTAAGTGAAAGAAGCCAATCTGAAAAGGCTACATACTGTGTGATTCCAACTATATGACCTTCTGGAAAAGACAAAACCATGGAGACAGTAAAAAGATCAGTGGTTTTCAGGGGTTAGAAGGGAGGGAAGGATGAGCAGGTGGAGAGGAGAGGATTTAGGGGTAGTGAAAATACTCTGTCTGATACCACAGTGATGGATAAATGCCATTATCCATTTGTGCAAACCCGTAGAATGTACACCGAGAGTGAACATTAATGTAAACTATGGACGTTGGGTAATTATGATGTGTCAGCGTAGGTTCATCAGCTGTAACGAATGTACCCCTCTGGGGGGAGATGTTGATCATGGGGGAGGGAGGCTGTGCGTATGTGGGGCAGAGGGTGTATGGGAAACCTCTGTACCTTCCCCTCAGTTTTCGTTGTGAACCTAAAACTGCTCTAAAAAAGTAAAGTCTTGAAAAAGGTGGTGGGGTGGGGGGAGTCTCGAGCGGAACCGGGACCAGCGCACCAACCTGAGCCTTGAAAGGAGGACTGGCCTAGGGCCAGTTAACAGCCGCAAGAAGCCAACAGTCCACAAGCCCCCGTCCCTTTAGAAGCAGGCAGGGCATAAATGACAAGAAATAGGCCACCCTTAGGCTGACTGGAGGCGGGAGAGGCGAGCGGCAGTGTCCCGCTGCTTGGGGGAAGGGAATGCCCCCAGAGCACGTCCCAGATGGGGCGAGAAGCTGATCTCGAGGATAAGGCCAACCCTCCCTCCTCAGCTCCCAAGTTAGAGAAAGCAATTACCGCGCAAGGCTTTCTTTGAACTCAGTCAAAGTTTGGCTGGGATAATGACTGGAGTTAAGTACTGGAGAATCAAAGTGCAAAAATGCTCTCGCAGGCCTGAAATTACTAGATTTGTTTTGTGTGGGAGCCAGGATTTCTGATGCAGCTGTAGGGGGAAAATATGTCAATGAGATTCTATTCTTTAAGGAAAATGTTACTTTTGCAATGCTGTGTTTGCCCGTCGGACCTCCCACAAGTTGGCCACTTTATGTTCTGATAAGATGGCTGCTGACCAACTGTCACTCCAGCCAGAAACCACACTGGCTCCTTGTGCGATCTACCGGCAGCAGTGAGCAGGGTAAGGCTGGGCTTTTGTGCCTCATCTGTATGCGCCTTCTCTGCCAGGTACAGTGGGCTCCCTTTGCCAGGTCCATTATGAGGGCAGGAAAGCTTACCCAGCCTAGATCTTTAACCAGGAAATCTACCCAGACAATGCCCCAGCGGGAGACAGTGCTGGGTCTGTCCTCTGGTGGGTCACCTCCTGCCAGGCCAGGCCAGGCAGGGCCTCCTCCTGCAGCAGCCCAGGCACGCGAAAGAAAAGTCTGGATTCTTACTTTCATTTACAAAGGAAAAACTCAAAGAGTAGGGGTTAATGATTTTTAAATGTTTAAATAAGTGGGGACGTACCATGTAATATTTAGGAATTCAAATTTTAGGGCAAAACTACTTGGGTTTGAACCTTGGCTCTGCCACTCTCCAGCTGTGTATAACTCCTGGGCAAGTCGTTCAACTTCCCTGTGCCTCTGTTTCCTCAACTATAAAATGGGAATAATAGTGGTTTCCACCTTTTAGAGTTACTATGAGGATTGGATGAGTTCATTCTTGTAAAGGGCTTAGGAAAAAGCATGGGGTCTAATTATTCATACATTTGTGTTTGTTAAATAAAAATAATGGATATTTCCCTAGATCCTGATCCTAATCCTTCCCCCCTCCCACCCTGTCTACCAAGTCAAGCTGAACACACGTACCTGATCTTTTTCTTATTTTCTATTTCAGTCCTTCATATCTGTCAGCTCCCCTTCCTCATATTAGTTTTCTATGGCTACCATAACAAATTACCCCAAACTTCATAGATTAAAACAACAGAAATTTATTCTCTCACAGTTCAGGAGGCTAGAATTCCAAAATCAAGGTGTCAGTAAGGTTGGTTTCTACTGGAGGCTCTGAGAGAGAATTCTTTCCTTATCTGTCTCTCCTAGCTTCTGGTTGTTCCCTGCAGTGCTCGGCATTCCTTGGCTTATAGATCCATCACTCCATTCTCAGCTTCCTTTGTCACATGCATTTTCCCCATGTCCCTCTGTGTCTTCACATGGACTTCTTATAAGGACACTAATCTTTGGATTTAAGATCCACCTTAACCCAGTATGTATGACCTTATCTTAAACTAATTACATCAACAAAGACCATATTTCCAACTAAGGTCACTTTCTGAGGTTCCAGATAGATAAGAATTTTGAGGGAACACCAGTCTACCCAGTTCATCACCTTAAAATTTCACGGTGCTTTCCCATCTGTTATCTCTTTTTAGTCTTTCTGTGTTAGAATCAAGCTCCACGAGGGTAGGGACCATGCCTCGTTAAGAGTAGTCTGAAGCAGCTGGCATTACTTAACATGGGAACACTTCCTGGGCCACCTTAAAGGAATGGAAAGACATGGCACCACCAGGTTGGGTGCGGAAAAGTGACATCTGAGGTAGGAGAGTCACCCAGAAGGATGGTGAGGGACAGGATGAAAAAAATCTCATTCGAGGAAATAAAAAAGGGAAAAGTTCAGAGATCCCAAATATTCTAGTATGGTGTCTCCAGAAGTAATGCAGAATTGGCAACAGCCAGAGGCAGAAGGGAGATTTAGGACAAGAGGGAGCAAGCTTTAGAGAAAGGGGGTGGGACAGAGTTAGAGTTGACTGCCTCAGGGCACAGCCTAAAGAATATCTCCTCTGTAGGAAGGAGGGGTCCTGCTGCCAGTATGGTTTCTTCTAAAGCCAAGGGACCCAATTGCAAAGAACCTGCCCTCTCCCGATACCCAAGGTAGTCTGAAATGTTGGAACATCTTCAACCCAACTTGACCTTGAGGGTCATGGAGAATGGAAGGAGAGATATAATACCTGGGATAAAACCTTCGGTATTTTTTTACTCAAGCCATTGGCTGTTTTGGTAGAGAAATATTTAGGTGTTTATCCACATGAACTAAGCTCACTAGATGATAAAAAGCTGCCATTGTGATATTCCTCAACTGAGTAGAGTGTATGACCTGTCTTCTCTGTGACAGCATAACTCGTTGTCAACCCACAATGTGTGTGAACAGGGCTGCAAGAGGAAAGGAAGGGAAAGGCATGCCTGAAGGCACAGATGTGGGGAGAAGGAGACCTTGCTCCTCTTTTTACTTCCCTAGTTCCCTGGTGGCAGCCACAGAAAAGGCAATAGGAAAGCCATCCATTTGTCAGATCAGCAGCCCTGGCCTGGTGCACTCATGACCTCTGTCACCAAGCTCCCTATTTGACTAAAGTGATCAGTGAGACAGAGAGGTTCCCAAATTACTCAACATCACCAACCTAGGAGGGAGTCCAGCCAGGACAGTTGTTAATTCTCTTGTCTCTACCATTATGCCCCTTCCAACCACACTGTAATAAATCTTAAAAGCAAACACCAAATCTGTTGAGATTCATCATCCTAGAGCCTCGAACCATAAGACAAATGTGGATTTCCCTAGCCAAGTTGTATCACCCAGTTTGGTATCTTATCTAGGTATGGGAACATAAAGTTGAGAAGTTTCTCCTTTGTTTCATTCCACAGGGCACCCTTCAAACCAAAGCAGTGATCCACACCTTGTTGTCACAAGGGGCACCAGGGGAACTACCCAGGTTCAAGACTGCAGTGAGCCTGGTGAGCACAAAGGTGAGGTCATTAGAAGTTTGGGATGTCCCTGAATTCAGTGACATTCCAGAGAAGGTTCCAGAACTGGAAATGATCATCTGATGGGCCCTTCTGTCTGCCACTCTTTTTTTCTATAGGGAACAGCTGATTAAATTCCAAGGCAGCCTTGCAGGGGACCCTGAAAGGTGATTTCACAGAAGGGGAGAGAGTAGACAGAGATAAGCTACTGACTGCCTCCTTTCAGCTGGCCCTCTTGGAGCTCACCTGACATGTTCTATCTGATTTACCTTAAGATTTATGATTCTGACATTGTACATAGACCTCAAACTAATTGAGAACATTCATGGGGGAGGGAGGACTGTGGACAAGAAATTATAACTTAGGTATCTGGTCTAAGCCTTCCATTAATTAACATCATTGTAAAATGAGAGAATTGGACTAATCAGTAGTTTTCAAACATTTAAAAAAATATTGGAATCTTCCCTTTTGGTAGTTTGCAGGTCCCTGGACTACTGCTTGAAGAAGAGCTATGATTTCTTAAACACAACCTTTAATACCAATGCTACCATTTTAGAAAAAGTGAGGATGAGTTGCCATGGCTGGATTTTATGGTACAGTTGCAGCAATAGTTTATCTACCAGGCCAAGCAATGAGGCCCTGGGTACTTCCAGCTCTTTTGTAACTTGTCACCCAGACTATGTTTTAAGGAAATACAGAACTGGAACTTTCCTGGGGGCCAAGAAGGTTAGGGAGTGGGAGAAAAAGAGAAGGGGAGATGCGAGGAGCAGCAGTATGTCTTGAACTTGAGGAGACCTGGAGGTAGAGACAATGAGATACTTTCCACTTTCAAAAAAAGGATGTCTAGCTGTTACTGATCTATGATCTAGACCCATTCTCCCTGGCAGAAGCCACAAATAAGGTCCTACTGTTGTAATCAGCACGCAGATGTGTCTTGTTTGGCCAGACAGTGTTGCCTTTCTAAAAATCTTTGAACCTAAATGTTTTTAGATTGGGTGTACATTCTTGGTTCACCACAAACCCCACCACTCCCACACTCTTTACCTGACACCACACACATTTATGTTACCTGGGTGGCCCAAAGGCATTTGAGTTTACAGCACCTGCTCTGTTGTTTTTTTAATTTTTCTTTCTCTCCTGATAGACAAATGCTTTTTCATCTTATTTCAAAATAGTCCAGTAAAGAATTGGCTCAGTTTTCCTGGGAAAATGAATGGCTTGTAGAGCTCAGGCTCACTTTGGAAGGATCAGGCTCACTTTGGAAGGATCCATCTCCTCCAGAGCAATCCCTTCCAATATTGCTGTATTTCATTAAACCAGACACTTAGGGACACTTCCCTGAAGAGAGAGAGGCCTGTGCCTGGAGAATCCTCTGTTGTCACACCTGCACACACCTCAAGTCTGCTATTTTGTGAACATTTCTGCAATTTAAGCTCATCATTTGTTTCAGCCACATCACTGGTTTAATTCCTTTAACCTGCCATATTCACTTAAAATGAGTCACCCTATTTGACTTTTCTGGTTTTTTCCATATCTCCATTTCTCCAATCTCCTTATTTAACAATCTACCAGAGATACCAGATGATTCCAGCTGTCACCAGGATGTATTTCAAGTACTTAACAAGTTTGATAACCTCCTTATTTTTTACTTATCTATTTTTACCCTTTAAAAAAAATTGAGGCATAATTGACATATAACATTATATTAAATTTCAGGTGTGCAGCATAATGATTACTTCCTTTTTATTTAAGTTTATCTCTTTACTCTGACCCAAATCCTTCTCCCTGCTCTTCCAGCAAAGCTTGGGGATAGAGGAACAGACATCAGCTAAGCTTTATTAAGGATAATCTCTAAGTTTCTGTTTGGTTTTATACTTCAAATTACTCTTAAGAATCAATATTTTGATGACTGAAGTGTAAATGAGTAAGCAACATAGAATAAGTTTTCCCTTTAGTTACATGAACAGAAATTCTGTGCATTTTTATTGGAAACCCAGGCAGAGTAACCAGGGGCATTTGCTAAGCTCCAAGTACAGGCATTGATGCCTCTTCTCCTTCTGGTGGCGGACATGGCACCTTCCTAAGGAGAGTCCCAAACCAAAAGGGGAACGGAGGTCTTTCCTGGCTCTGCTTTATGCCTTTTCCTCTACAAATTGCTGTTAAACTGCTATTGCTCCTTTTTATACTGAGGATCTCAAAATAGGTGCACACAAAAGCAATCCTGGCTTTTCACACAGTTGGCACCATTTGAGCTTTAATCAGTGAGTGGTGGGTCTTGCTGCTGCTGAAATGGGCCAGAGAACAAGGTTAAAAATTATTTGTGTTGCCAGAGCTAGTGTGGCTCAGTTGGTTGGAGCATCATCTTGTACACCAAAGGTGGCAGGTTCAATTCCTGGTCAGGGCACATACTCAGGTTGCAGGTTCGATCCCAGGTTGGAGCACGTGTGGGAGACAACCTATCAATGTTTTTTTCTCTCTCTTTCTTCCTCTCTCTGGAATCAATTTTTAAAAAATTATTTGTGTCAATTTTCCTTCTTAATAAGGAAACAAAGATATTTGTGTCCCACTTGTGGGCTTCTCTTTTCTTTTTATGCCATTTCTTCCTTTTATGTTGCTTATCATAGTATTTCAAGTAAGCTTGGGCCAAACAAATGTTTTAGAATCTCCAGGAGCGGGGAACCTCCCTGTTCCTTGACCTGCTGTGCTGCTCAGCAGGCAGCCCTGCCCAGCCCAGCCCGGACTAGAAGCTGGCCTACTGACTCTGTCCAGCTCAGGGCTGCTCCAGCAACTACACGATGCCGCTGTTACCATCTGTCTCCCTCACCTGGGGCCTCTATCTGTCTGCTGCCGGACAGAGGCAGCTTGTTTTCCTTTAAGCATGAGTCATTTATCCGAGCGAGGCCTGCCACCACAGAACAGGTCAGTTTTGACGATGAGTTCTAAACGAAGGCTGCGGAAAGCCAAGGAGCAGCATGAGGGCAGGAAGAGAGGTGCTGCAGAGAGCATGGGTGGCACTGTAATGCCTATTTCTGAATGTATGCTTAGGTGCCTAAGTATTTGTTTGTTTTCTCTCAGTTTTGAGGGGCTTTGTAGATCGCAAAAGCAGTCCACAAGCTGAATCCAACAATGGCCATGCAGAGACTTCAAGCAGCTCTCCTTCTGTTGCTGAGAAAAATCGGTGAGTCTTGGCCCAGCCGGTGTGGCTCAGTAGTTGAGTGTCAAACCATGAGCCAGGAGGTTGCTGCTCGATTCCCAGTCAGGGCACGTGGCTGGGCTGCGGGCTCCATCCCTAGTAGGGGGCATGCAGGAGGCAGCCTGTCAATGACTCTCATCATTGATGTTTCCGTCTCTCTCTCCCTCTCCTTTCCTCTCTCTGAAATAAGTGAAGAAATGTATTTTGGGGGGGAAATCGGTGAGTCTTATCTATAAAATTTCTCAGTCTCAAACTCAGGGACTTTTGGTGAGTTGGAGAGAATGGAACCAGAAGTATCTCCTATCAGAATCTCCCATGTTAGAGGTCATTACCATGTGGGCAGAAGTCTTTATTCTACAGGGTAATCTGAACACAGTGCTGCCACTTGGATTCTCTTCATGGTAAAACTTGTACTTGGCCTCATTAGGTTAAAGCAGTGGTTCTCAACTGGGGACAATTTTACCCCTCTCCTGGATTTTGGCAATTTCTGAAGACATTTTTGTTGTCACAACTTTAGGAGGAGGAATTGTGCTAATGGAATCCAGTGGGTAGAAACCAGGGATACTGCTACATTTCCTATAATACAGAGACAGCCTCGTACAACAAAGAATTGGCTAGCCGAAAATGACAATAGTCCCGAGTTGGGTTTAAGCTAAAGCAAAAAGGAAGTATTATTTCCTATTTACGCACCGGTTTTAGTTAAATGTAATTCAAAATGAGTAGAGCAGAGCTGGCCCAGGGCCATAGTGCATTATTTTCCAAGTACACCTGAGCTGCTCGGGTCTGTAGAGGGCAGGAACCCTGGCTAAATGTAGGCTCAAATCATGTTAAGTAAAGCCCTCCAGGCTGTGACACCAAGTACTAGAGATTCATGGGACTCCCAGGCTCTCTGTTCTTCAGGGAAGCCTCATAACCTACCTTCTCTCAGAAAAGGTTTCCAGGCCCCATCACACATGTCATCAGGAGGAGGAGGCAATTACAGGAAGGAATGAACCATGGTAGAGAGAAGGTCTAACTAGAATAAAGCTTGCCTCTCTTGTTTCCCCCCAAATTGATTGTAGGAACACTAAAAGTTTACTCCAGCCCTGGCCAGCGTGGCTCAGTTGGTTGAGTGTCATCCCATGCACCCAGAGGTGGCTGGTTCAGTTCCTGGTCAGGGCACATGCCTGAGTTCTGGGCCTGATTCCTGGTAGGGGGTGTGTAGGAGGCAGCCGATTAATGTTTCTTTCTCTCCTTCTCTCCCTTCCCCTCTCCCTCCCTCTTTCCCCCACTTTAAAAAGCAATTTTTAAAAAAAGTTGACTCCAGAATTTGGAGAACGAAACAGGCCATTAGAAAGTTCTTTGCACTTTTTCACTTGGAAAAAGAGGTGGTCTTGATTTGTAATTTAAAAAATAATTCTTAATTTGTTGAAACTTCTAATTAATATTTTTGAGCCCTGACAAATTTAATTCTCAATACTTCTCTGGTGGTCTCAAATTATTGTTGGACTACTGTTAAAGTAGACAACTTTTCTAAAAAGTAAGAATAGCTCATTTTTTAAAGGTGCTTGAGGAACTATTATAGACTAACATCTCATATTAGGATAACAAAGTTTAGAATGTCTTTTGCAGCAGAAAGACCACTGAACTTGGTAGGTGGAAGACTTAGGTTTTGGTCCTAATGGTAACATTTCCCAGCTGTTTGACCTTGGGCAAGTCAGTGAACTAGTCTGGGAAATGGCTCCAGCCCCAGCCTGACTCCCCTCAACCCCAGCTGATGACTAACTTTACTCAGAATTATCAGGACAGTTCTGTGAGCAATGTCCCTCCATTTTAGAATCTCAACTTATATTCATTTGTCTTTTCTCCCTTTGCTCCTATCTCAAAAGACCACAGGTCCTCTTCCTCACACGGGGCAACCCTCTGTCGTGTTCCTGCCCTCCGGGCCCTGCCACCATAAATTAGCCCACCCCTTGCTCTCTCTCTCCCTCCCTCTCCCTCTCTCTCTCTCTCTGCTGCCTCTTTCCCTTTTGCTTATCCCTCACCCATTCTAACAAAAACCTGCTCTTGGTCCTGTCCCTCCCTCTTCTTACTTTTACTATCAGACTTCCTCAGACAAGCATCCAGGCGAGTTGCCTCACCAACTCCTCCCTCCTTAATCCTGAAATCTGACCTGTGCCCTCACCACATCCCTAAAACTGTCCCCAGGAAGCTTAGCTCCCAGTCACTAGAGCCTCATCTTCATCAGACTCTGCAGCATGTAGTTCGCAGGCCATGCTTTCCTTGGACCACACTCTCGCACGGGCGTCTGTAATACTGCAGTCTTCAGGCGCCTCCTCCAAGCTGGCCTTGGTTTCCATCCATTTCTTCCACTCACCACTAAAATGCAGGCAATTCTCAAGTCCTTGGCTCTCTTCTTTCTGACTTTCTACCTGGATGATATCTTCTCTTACAGGTGTATTCTCGTATCAACTCTTGGCTGTGTGAGCATGATTCTCAGGTCTCTGTTCTGAGCACCACACTTTCACACCCAATGCCTGTTGACCATGTATTCCCGATTTACATCCCAGGCCCTCACAGAGAAGCCCCCAGCAAGGCATCTTCACCCGACTTTGCCTCTTCTGTGAGTGGCACAAACACTTTCTTGTATCCTGGCCTTCAAACCTGACAGTCCTACCTCTCACTTAACCCCACCCTCAATCATTTTCTTAGCATTCTTTCTTGGTCCAGGCCTGCCGTTATCTTTCCTTTCTCTCTGTTCTCTCCTCTTTACAGACCAGCTTTCATTTCTGACATCTGATCAATTGCCCTAGAGCATATTCTGACTTTTCTAAGAACTTTAATGGCTTCCCATTTTAGACCAAAAGAGGTTCAGACATCTCAGTCTGCTATATCAAACCTCTCCCTGTCTTGCTCCAATTTGTCCTTCAGACTCACCTCCTGTATGACCCTGGATGCACCCTCTGGCTATGGCTACGTGGAGTCAGACTTTATATTGTTCTACCAATGCACCTAACTCTGTTCTTTCTTTCCATTCCTTTCTGTTCAACTCTTGCCTATTTTGCCAAGATACATTGTCATACCCCTTTCCTCCATGAGGACCTTAATTCCATTTAAAACTTCTTGAACCTTTATAGCATGCTTTAACAGCACTACTGAAAGGGCAAGACAAAACAATGAGCTTGTGTCTAAGTGTAAATCGACCCAATGTTTTCTTCAAAACGAAAGCTGAACTAAACAAGGTACTTGGTGATAAATTGGTTTATGTCTGGCACAAGCTCCTTGTGATACTGTGAGTGGTAGCAGCTCACAGACTGAGTCTTCAGGCCACTCTTGGGTTAGTCACTCTCTGTGGCTCTTCCCATTTGCCTGGTGTTGTGGTTGACTGTATACCAGCCAGTCAGCTTCCCAAGGGCAAGGGCTGAGTCTTCCTTCTCCCTGTTTCCAGTGCATGCAATGAGTTTATCAAGCTGACTTCCAAGGCCACTCTTCAGACCTCAGATGGTTTTCCTTATTTTTATTTTTTAATTACCATTTACATTCAATATTATTATGTATTAGTTTCAGGTGTACAGCATCGTGGTTAGACAGTCACATACTTTACAAAGTGTTCCCCCTGATATTTTCAGTACCCACCTGGCACCATACATCGTTATTACAATATGATTTACTATATTCCCTATGCTGTATTTTACACCCTCGTGACTAATTTGTAACTACCAATCTGTACTTCTCAATCCCTTCACCTTTTTCACCCAGTCCCCCAAGCCCCACTCCCCTCTGGAAACTGTCGCAGAACTCCGATTTTTATGAGAGAAATGTTCTTCCTTCTCCATTTTGGGGTGGTGGCAGCAACAACAAGGTCCAGAATAATTCATCAGATAGTGTGTCAGGACCTCCCCACTTCAGGGGCTGGGACCCCACTTTCCCTCTGTGTTTGATGGTCTCCTCAGTGTCCCATGGATCAACCCAGGGATTAAAAGGAAGGCTGCCTGGGAGTGGGCATGATGGGCATAACAAGGAGAGCTGGGACATGCCAGTGATGATGCTCACAGCATCAAGTGACTGAGCTCCCCACAGACATGAAAGGGTTCCTCAAAATAAGAGGTATGAAGACAGAAAGAAGTTCTAGTGCTGGATCAGGCACTCAGGGATGTCATCGAGGACACAGGTTTCTTTATCCCTTTGCTCTGTCATCTCAGCACATCAGCGATGCTCCTACTTATGGTCACCAGGTGGCTGAAGCAATGCTAAGTATCACTCCCTCACATGGCAGGAAGGAAAAGGTGGACGGAAAGGGAGCTTTCCTCAGAAGTGTCTCTCTGTTTGTCAGGATGGAAACCTTTCCCAGAAGTCCCCAGCATACTTCTCTCACATCTCATGAGCCAGAATTTTCAGATGTGACTCTGCAGGGGAGCTGCAAGGGAGTCTGGGAAATGTGATCATGGGCATTTTCAGCTTCTGCAGGAGAAAGTAGGCAAAGAATAAAGAGGCTGGGAAAGCAACCAACAAAGTGTGCCAGAAGAGTCCTGAAGGGGTAGTGAGGCAGGAGATAGGGTCTGGGGAAAGAGGAAGAGAAGGCAGAATCAGAGGGAGGAATTCATAAGGAAGACACAGACACGGTGAGAAATATTGCTGAGAAGAAGGACCACGGGGACATGTTGAGGTCATCATTCAGATTCATCCAACACTTATTGTGATGACAGGTCTTTTCCCACAGTTATCTCACATAATTCTCGCATCAGCCTTTGGGATGGTATTACTGACTCCAGGTTACTGATTAGTAAAGTGGACAAGGGGAAGGCTAATCGAGTAGCTTCCAAATGCTGGCCCAGAGTCCAGGGCTAGGTTGGAGGTGTCAGGTTTACCTACTTTTGTGCCCAATCAGCTAGTCTGGGGGTCACTCAGTATCATAGAGAGAATAAATGGCAGGTCTGGGGTTTGAATCCAGATCTTCTGTCTCCAACAATAACAACAACTAATATTTGCTATTCCTTAAAAGCTTC